CAGTTGCTTAAATTGGAAAATTTACTGCGATGATCACACTTCACTTTCATCTACTACCGCAGTTCAAATATGAATTATTTCATATATACTTCACATCAGCTCTTATTGTTAAAACTGCACAACTCAGCTTTGTTTGCCGGGACTAAATTAAAATTTAAAACATCATGGTGCTAAGTTGTTTTGCCTTTAATTGATAACATTTATTCTGTTCTCGTAAATGGGTCACAAAGGGTCACAAAGGGAAACGCATTTCTCTTGATGTATTCGATATTGAAAAAATAGATCCGCAATAGGTTCGTGTGTGGCTGAAGGGAAGGGTGAACACGAAATCATTATTGATCGCGATATTATAAACGAGAGCAAGAGAAGAGGGGATGGCGAGCAATGGAAGTTGCAAGGGAGAGGAACGGTGGGAAAAAGGCTAAGGGGAAGGAGAGGTTAAAAGGTTTAGAATTTTCAAGCCGTGGAAAGTAACCGCATTTGCGCTTGACAAAATTAAGTCAGATATGAGCCTAATTGACTCCTGAGTTCAGTCAATATAGAGATTATATCGGTGTATGCAGCAAAATAAGTCATACCTACATACATGTAGCAAGAAAGGGCCAATAAAAAGGGTAACGAAGGAAAAAAAAACATACGTTTGATGATTTCTTGGAGAACTTACAACAAGCCATAAATTTCTAACAATGGAATTAACGTCTGACGAAGTGATAATACATGGGATTGTCCTGGAAATGATTAAACTGTTCTTCTAATGAGTACTGCTAGTTCGCACAGTGTGATCTTCTAGGTGTGGTAAGGTCTAAAAAGAGCTGTTGCTGGCGTCAGCAACCTTATATTCAATCAGTACACCTAAAAACAAAACGAAGCAACACGATTTTCCATCCGATCGATCCAGCTAACTAGCTCCAAATCTTCTAAAAAATTCTACGCGGTATTGGACTATTTCTGTGAAGAATTCCCGTAGACCGAGTTGCTCTTGCAAACCCACCGACGGTCAAATGGACAAAAGTTCTCTTCGCTGACTTTGTGTTAGCTCGATTAACACGTAGCCACATGTACACATTGTGTACCTTTAGTGCGCTTGCACATGAGCTGACCTCTAGTATGCTTTGATGGAAATATCCAATAATCTTAACCGCTCCGTATTGTCGTTCACCCTTTCTGGCCTTTGCTATTAGTTTCTCCTACAGGGAGAAACTTTATGTCAGTGGAAGGAAAGGCTCTGCGTGCTGCAAAACCGATATCAAACACCGGTTTACATAATCTGTATGGTATCTGCGATACCGCTTCAGTCTGGGTGCAATGTATATTATACTATATGTAGAAATTGTTTTGACATCAGGCAGGAGAAATTAAGTCACCTATTTTCTGTGTCTTACAAGTTTTGCTTATGGGTTTGTTGTATAAGCTATCCACCATAATGCTTGCTTATTCTCATAACGTATTCTTGCTTGGGGCGTTTTGAAGGGAAGGGGATGGGTATCACGACAGGAAAAAAAAGCTGCACGTTAATTTCGCAACTTGAAAAGCCCAATTCAGTACGTTGTGAACAATACAGACATGCTTGATGATAGCTGTACTTGATCAAATGTAAACTAATAACGATGACCATATTAGTATGATATTAACTACGAAAAGGATGTTGGCAAATGTTGGCATTCTGATTGTAATAAAAACAAGGAGACGAGATAAAATAGTATTTCACAGATGATCTTCAAGTTTTAGCTTTATCTCGGTCACTCTTCTGTATCCGGACGCAATATAATTAAGCTCGAAAAATAATGCTTGGCTGATCATCTGAGGACTCTTTCAGTGCAATCTAGTATGGTGGTGATGGCGATGGTGTTGTTTCTGTTATGAGAACGAAACAAAACAGTAATAACAAGAATAACGCATTAAAATTAGAATAAAAGGAAATGCTAGCAACACCGAACGTGACTCTGGAGAAAAACCAAGACAAGAAAGAGATAGCAATGAACAAAACTTTTACTTACTGATGCAATCTGGCCAAGGCACAGCAAAATCCGCGGCAGGGGCACCAGGTAAATCATAAAATTGCCATTCTCCATTCTGGCAGTAATACAAAAAAGGGGGCCTGCGCTCAAAATGAAAACCTTTGTTGCACTGCACTCGACACACTGGTTCTCCAGCTATTGAATTACAGGTCAAGACACCATTCTTAGGATGTGGGTATATTTTGCATGAGGGAGAACCTGCAGTAAATTAAAGAGGGAAAATTAAATATATAGAAAGGTAGGAACGTAGATAAGTAATTCAATTATAACAGCGCTTATTTCAGGGATTAGGCATCAATTTGATGACTTCTAATTTGGTTTATAGTATGATACCTTTTAGTCAAGGATCTTATGCTTCAATGACAACCCAGCGTATATTGTTACAGGTTTGTTTTTCAAATTTTGAACATTCGGTCCTCTTTTCCATGAAAAAAAGGCTTAACTCTCTTGCAATAGCTTTATAGTTAGGGGCCACTTATGGTGTACCAATGCCCCTCTTCTTCGCATTTTTTTCTTTAATCCTGCTAAAGGGTGTAGGAGTTAAGGTGGCTGGCAACATGTAAGTTTACAACACTTTAAGGTAGTTTAATTCTGAACCCCATGTTCAAAATGTTTTAAAACTTTACTAGTCTTATCCTGTTAATCAAAATTCAAAAATATAAAATGGCGGTCACCAAGCTCTTTTTGAGTTATTGGCAGGTCATACTGTTGCTATGGTAACCTATTGTTGTATGGTAACAACGTGTTCACCAACGATTGGGCAGTTTTTCTATACCATGATTAAAACGTCATTGATAAGTAATGGTAATAGGACTGTGTGGAGTCCAATTCGGTCGGTAATCGTACAAGTGATAATAAAATCGGACGACCGCGCAGCGTGAGTCCGATTTATTTATCACGAGTATGATTACAGACCGAATTGAACGACACGAAGTCTAGAAATTAGGATGGGTTGATTTAAACAACAAATGTGAATGTGATTGGTTGATTTAAACCATAACTTTGAAAGTGACTGGCTTATTGAACTGTCCAATGACAACTTGACAAGTGAATAAGTGGAAAATATGAGTTTTGTTAAACCAATCACAATCGAGGAAATTGTAATTTTTATGATTAGGAGTGATTATAATGACTCATCAAAGTCTTTGAAAGTGCTAGTAACTTTTCTGATGTTATATGATGCCACTAAATCTGCTAACATAAATCCTCTATGTAAGTCTATATTCTTTGCTATATGTACAACGTGCATGTGTATACTAGCTAAAGGTTGGTTTATTTGGCGTGTAGATTTTTGCAGATATCCGGTGGACTTCAAACAATAGACAATGACAGTAAAAGTGAAATAAGTTACAGTTTTCTGTTTTACTTACGTTTTAATGCTGCGCCCTCAACCTGGAATTAAAATACGGATGAAGGTTAGTTCATTGTTTTCGTCATGAGCTTGAATCAATTTCAATACGCTTTATACAATACCATATCATAAAGTTGAGTTCATGAATAACAGTCAAATTCAAACTTTAGCAAGCTATTTACCAGATAGAAGATGCTTTCTTTCACGTTCTATTAGAGCTCGCGAGAACACGGCAACATTGCTATAGAATAAAATTTTGACGCCATCCCATAAGTGGGGCATTTGCACTTTTCTCATAGCCCCACCATAGGGATATTGTATGCGCCAGCTGCGCCACCGTGGGTGTTTTGCCACCTTCTGAAAACAAAATGTCAAATGCCCGTCACATGCCCGTGCAGGAGGGGGAGGGAGGCTTGGAGTTGATAGAGCCATAAGGGAAGTACGATTTGCCTTATTTTGATCAATTCAAAAAAGTGCCTCTATAACTTCCGTGACAAATGATCAGAAAATTGCAGTTTACCTGCGCTTGTGCAGTAAATAAGGCAAACATAATTCCCAGGATGATCCAAAATTTCATGATGAGCAACGGTCTGCAACTTTAATGAAAAACAATGATAAAAAAAGTGATAAAAAACAAAGCAGAACTTTCCAAGTTTCTTTGTAGTTACTAAGGCATTTGCTCAAGCGTGATCGATCTTTTTAATCGTTTGCAGCGGACGCAGTTGAGATTGTGCGCACTATGTAGTACGGATGCTGTCTTTCTGATAGTTATTAAGACCATCACGTTACTAAATTACAGTTGTACTTAGATTTGTGAAATGACGTTGCTCCTATTTGAAGACTTTAGACTGGGCCCGTTTAGACTCCATTTGAGGCAAGAATATATTCACATGCACCTTCAGCAAGAAGTCAGTGCAGTTGCAAGACAAGTTAACTGTACTCTGCAAACAGTCGCGCTAATTCTAAAATGGCGATTTCCTTAACGGCCGACCTTCGACCTTTGGAAAGTAAAGCGCTTACTTAAAAAAAGAAAAAAAAGGATCGAGAGAATGATAGCTTTTAATCTTTGACAATATGCAGTGGCCGCCAGCTTCTGAAATCATCTTTTTTCCCTTTAATTCTTGGCAATATTTATGCATTGGAAAGCAGTAGAGAGTAACGAATTTCCGAATATTTGCCGCAAAGGAAATCTTAAAATCAGGGCGAAATCAACTGCAAGTAAAACGACAGTTCTTGAAAACTGACGCATAAAAGCTAAAACTTTTGAATGTTTTCACTTACCTTTTTCTGGTGCTGATGGTTTAAAATTTCGGAGAAGAGCGTTACTGCGGGTGACACTTGTAGCAGACTGGCTTGAATCAAAGAATCGTGTCCATAAAAATGCTCATTTTTTCCATAAGCAGCACATGATCACATGATTTTTGTTAAAGCAGCTGAAATAATCATTAAGACATCCTGTCTGGTTTTTTACAGACTGTGTGAAAAATATTTTCAAACGAAATGAAAACCCCACGCAATATTTGTCTTTTTTGTTCATCAAGACTGTTACACTAATACTTCGTAACTGAAAATGAGAGAGTAGAGAATGTGGAGAATGTACAGAAAAAAAATATGGCTAATATATAATGGCTAAAAATCATGAACTATGTGTTTTGTTTTTGGACAAACGTGATCATTTCTTTACGTCATGCACTTTTTGCTAATATATTGTAACAGACTGACTTGAATCAAAGAATCGTGTCCATAAAACTGCTCATTTTTTTTCATAAGCAGCACATGATCACATGATTTTTGTTAAGGCAGCTGAAATAATCATTAAGACATCCTGTCTGCTTTTTTACAGACTGTGTGAAAAATATTTTCAAACGAAATGAAAACCCCACGCAATATTTGCTTTTTCGTTCATCAAGATTGTTACACTAAAATTTCGTAACTGAAAAAGAGAGTGTAGAGAATGTGGAGAATGTACAGAAAAAAAATTTGGCTAATATATATCGGTTAAAAATCATGAACTATATATTTTTTTTGCACAAACGTGATCATTTCCTTATGTCATGCACTTTTTTCTAATATAACCAAGGCAAGATCAGAAAAAAAAAACGCCTGCTTTATATTGATTATTTTATTTCAATTTCTAGCCTCTTTAGGGGACTTGAAATAAATAATAAATAAATTCATCCTTTTTTACCGATGTAAGCGCCTTAGTTCACCTGTTACTATATGGCTATACGGTCCCAAGCTTACTGCCATTACAAACTCGCCACGTTAAATCTGCTTTGACTATGTTCAAACTGTTTTCTCTATTTAGCAAAGCAGACAGTTTTCACAACTGGGTAAACGAGATTAGCGAATTGAACAAAGAGGCGAAACTTGCTGTAAAATGACTCACTAAAACAGTTTGAGGAAGGTAGAATTCTCTTGTTCAACGATCTTTGAAAGTCTAGAAAAGAAGCTTAGTCAATCATTTGGTGAGTCACGTATGGTTGCCCAAAACAGCATTTATCCAGTGCCATGATCAAAGATGAATGAAATCAATCTCCTTTAGACCGACCACAGAGAAAATCAGTTGCGTCACTGGAAAACTCAGCATGAAACATAATACTAAACAATTATTGGATGAGGTTTTTGTGATATCCGGAATAATCAAGGTCGAGGGAAGTGATAACACTAACCGAGACCTTGATTATTTCGGATATCACAAAAACCGAATCTCATAATTGTTTTATTACACATTGTTTTAAAGAAAATAACGACAAAAGCGTTATCGCACCGAACACAGTTTATTTTCGACAAGCCTTGTTCTTACGTGAACTTGACATTGCGCTTGGAAATCATGCATTGAGCGCAACCTACGGATTACTCACTAATTTCCTAGCAGATAAGTAAGTAATCTGCAGGTTGCGCTGTTTCCCAGAATTAACTGTAGGCTTTTAGCCGATAAGAAGACAGATGGTGACTACAACGTATAATAACGTCAAATAACGGTTTGTCTCAATTTAAACAGAGGCAGAACTTTCAGTAATAGAGGGAAGTTTGATGTAGAGTTTCAATTGCTTAAACTGCATGTATGTGGCTATGACCTGTAGTCTAAAGCTCTTGTTTCTGTGAACCTTTTGTTTTTCTTTCGAGCTCGTATGTACATGTATACGTTGCTTAGGCTCCGATTGTTGAAAACTGGGTCAACTCAGCTTTGTTTGCTGAGACAAGATTAAACTTTAATGCATCATTTACGCATGGTGCTGATAACTTTGTCTTCAATAGATGATGTTAGATAGCTTTGATTCTTGAATTAACTTCATAGACCATAGGAGACCGTACAACCCAAAGATCAAATGAATTAGCGGCAAATTCATTTGCTTATAGTCTTCAAACATATGAAATGAAGTATTTTTAAACAAATATAAATACATTTGAAAATAAAGTAAAAAAGCTGTTTTCTTTTCTTTTCCCGTGGTATTTTCTAAAAGAAATGGAAACATATTCTCCATGTTTCTATCGATTTATAGAAACACTCTTGAATGTTTGGGAGAACTCGACAAAGGAGTGGAAACACTCGCCTGTTGGCTCATGTTCCCACAGCATTTCTCGTTCTCCTAAACTTCCACTCGTGTTTCTATTTAACAATTTGATCATGAGCTCGAGATTTCTATCACGCATAGAAATCGAGAGCGAATAATCTAATTGTTTTAGTATAAATCTACTAGTCGTTCAAATTTTTATCTAAATCTTCTTCACAGACACTTCGAAAACCCCAAGAGGCGGCCGTCATTTTGTTAACAAGGGTACACTGCTACCCTACTCACTATATCTATCACAGAATAGATAGTGAGTAGCGTAGCCAATCAGAGAACGGATTTCGTGATAGAACGCTTGTAGATTTATACTAATACTCAATGGACACACGTACTATTTAAACACAGAAGACGTTTTCTGCCTTACACAAGAATTAATTAGCTTAGTTTTTTCTTATCGATTACGAGTAAAAATTCGACCAACAAAAGCACTTGAAACACTTTCTTCAACTAGTTTCAGAATGATATTTTGTGGCATTCTCACAATATCGATATGAATACTTCAGCAGAAAAATCAACTCACAAGTTCGCTCAAGTTCCGCCTACAGGCGTAAAGTACAATAGAAGCAAGAAAATAACCACTACATAAAGTCACTTCGACGCGATTTTGCGCGCTCTTCGATTCTTCGAAGGCCCCTTCAAATGTTTGTCTCATCTTTTCAATTACATGTACTCCGACGCACGTATCCGATTGTCATCATCAGAGATATTAACTGGTTATCGAAAAAGCCACTCAAAAGGCCGTTCAAAATCCAGGGAGAGTCACAACTGCTGCTATAACATATATATTTCTTTCATAGTTTCTATCAAGTTCCGTTTGCATCACCATACATGGCTTACCTACCGAATTAAAGGAGGATGACCGCTGACTTTTCAATGTCTAAGTCAAAGATTTGTATGTAAAAGCAGCAGTAGTGGCTGCCTTTTGAGTAGCGATGCTGACAAACTGTTAACATCTGTGATGATGAAAGCGGGATGGCTATGGAGTCGAAGCAACCGAACAGATGACACAAAACTGGACATTTTCCAATTCAACAATCAAGGATAGCGCAAAATCACGTCTAACTGACATGTACATGTATGTAGTAATTGTTTCTTGTTTCCATTCGATTTTACAATTGAAAGCGTAAGTTGACGGAACTTGTGATATAGCTCTGAAAATATTTCAAAGAAATGACCCAATTGCTTCTCTTCGCCGAATTTATACTCCAAATTAATGGGAAATGCTTAATTAGAGACGTCTCTTTAAGACTGAGAAACGGCTTTCGTGTTTTAGTGGATGTTCATGAAATGGCCATAAATCATAAAGTCCCATATAAACAGTACGACAGTACAGAAAACATATTGAAGTCGCCAAACATTTTATGGCTCTTTTGAGAACTTTAGTGATTTATCCCACTATCTATGCTTGAATAGTGTCATTTTCTGTTGCTCATTGAAGGTATTTGGCACAATTAAAGGCTGTTCACAATGCTACGAAGTTGCCTGGTTCAAAGAATATCTGTGCCTTAAGACTAATATTCAGTTGTACACGTAGAACATGATCCAGTGGACTTCATTTTAACATGGCTTTTCACACGCCGGGAATTTTTTGGCCCGAATCCGGCCAAAGCGACAGGCTCAACTAATGCGTCAGCGGTCGACTCCAACTAGGCTCTTTTACTAAACAAAGATGGCGGCCATAAGTGGAGTATT